CTCCAAAAAAAAAAAAAAAAGAATTACTTAACTTTGGGACCAACAGTTGGCATAATGGCTATGTCACTGGACTCCCAAGTAGTTGACCAGTAGTTGACCGCAGTTCAAGTCCAGGACCTGTTGGCTTAAACTCACACCAGGCGCGCGTGTGTGCATGCCCAAGATCCGAGGAGAATCGAGAGAGAAGGGATTATGGCGTGGCCATCCCCCCTGGGGAGTAGTTTCTCACTTTCTGTCTCTCTCTGTCTTTCTGGGGAGCATACACAACCTACAGCAAAAACCTCTCCAAGAAAAAAAAATTTTTTTTTTTAGGTTTTTGCCCATAGTGTCTATGTGCTTACAGGGAGTCAGAGAGAGGGAAAGTGAAAAATCACTCCACAGGGGGTTTGGCCACACAATTCCTTCTCTATTCTCCTCTCAGGATTTTGGGCATGCATGCATACACACCAATTTTCAAGCCATCCGGTCTGGGACTCAAACCATGGTCGGCCACATGGGAACCCAGCCAACCTTAACCACCATGCCATCTGCTGGTCCTATTTTTTTTTTTTTTAATTTGACTAGAGAGAGAGAAAGAAAGGGAAAGTGAGAAAGGAAGTGGTCACGTCTAGGACTCCAACCACATTTAGCCACATGGGAGTTCAGTGCCTTAACCACCACGCCACCTGCTGGCCCGGCCCCAGCCCAATGTTTTTTTTTTTTTTTTTTTAAAAGCCACTAGGCCTGGGATCCAAATCATCTAGTCAGCCATGTGGGATCTAGCTCCCTTAACCACCATGCCACTTAGCTGGCCCTTTGCCATATATTTGGACTATATTTAGACCTGCCTGTTACTTCTAGATCTTACATTCACTCACCCAGGTAACTTTTAGTCAACCTGAACTTTTTTTTTTTTTTGAGAGGAATTTGCTATAGGGCACACGAGCTGGCCACAAAGACAGAAAGAGACAGAAAGCGAGAAATCACCCCCTCAGGGGGGATGGCCACGCCGCAATCCCTTCTCCTCCGTTCTCCTCTGGAGATTTTGGGCACACACGCACATGTGCCAGCATGAGTTTAAGCCATCGGGTCTGGGACTTGAGCCACAGTGGACTACATGGGAGTCCAGCGACATAGCCATCATACCATCTGCTGGTCCCCAACCTGAACTTTTTGATACATTAACATTAATAGTTACTGGGACCAGCAGGTGGTATGGTAGTTAAGGTCACTGGATTCCCACATGGCTGATCACAGTCCGAGTCCTGGACCTGGCAGCTTGCTTTCTCACTTTCTCTCTCCTCCTGTCACTCTGGTCAAACTAAAATAAATGAATAAAAAAAAGTTAAACAAAAATAATTTTTTAAAATATTAATAGTGATTGATATGCAGCTCATCAGATTTAAACCCCTTCAGGTATACTACTAAAAATGTTTGTTCCACACTTTTTTTTTTTTTTTAAGTTTTTGCCTTAGGGCATGTGCACTCCCTGGAGAGACAGACACAGTGGGAGGGTAAGTGTGAAATTATCCTCAGGGAGGATGGCCACACCCCAATCCCATTCTCCTCCTGGGACCTTGGGCGCACACACACACGTGCTCAGTATGATTTTCAAGCCACTGGGTCCAGGACTCGAACTGTAGTCAGCCATGTTAAAGTCCAGCAATGTGACCACTATGCCACCTGTAGGTCCCCCCCCCCTTTTTAATATTTTGTCATAGAGTACATGCGCTCACCAGAGACACAGTAAGAGGGAAAGTGAGAAATCATCCCCTTTGGGGTGGCTGGCCACATCATAACCCCTTCTCAATTCTCCTCCTGGGATTTTGTGCACATTTGCATGTGTGCCTGGTATGATTCTTGAGCCAGTGGCTCCAGGACTTGAACTGCAGTTGGCCGTGTGGGAATCCAGTGCCTCAACAACTCCACCTGCTGCTGCTCCCCAAAACTTGCTCCATAATCTAATTTCTTTTTTTTTGGAGAGTTCTTTTTGCTATAGGGCATGTGCGCTCGCCAGAGACAGAACGTGAGAAATCACCCCCCCCCCACCCCAGGGGAGATGGTCACATAAGATAAAAATTAAGAAAAACAGCCAGAAGGTCAGTTCATTATTTTCTAAGAATTAATTCTTTTTTTTTTTCTTTCTTTAAAGAGAGATTTTTGCTATAGGGCAAGCGCACTCACCAGAGAGACTGACAGAGACAGGCAGACAGAGGCAAGAAATCACCCCTCCCCGCATCGGGATGGCCATGTTACAATCCCTTCGCCTCCATTTTCCTCATGGGATTTTGGACATGCGCGCGCACACACACGCACTCAACATTGAGTTTTAAGCTGCCAGGTTTGGGACTCAAAATCCCTAATTGTTTTTCTAGCTCCCAGATACTCTAGAAAACCCAAAACATTTCACCTGCTGATCTTCCCCCGTACCTACTCAGAATGCTTATACCTGCTTGCCCCACCCTGCCACCCCACTTCCCTCAGGACACAAGCGACAAGTGTCAGCTCCGTACATTCAGATCCTCAGAAAAGCAGCAGGAAGACCGAAGTATCCGCTTTGCTTAGGATAAGATAGGGAAAAACACACACCCATTTCTTCCCACTGGAATTCAAACTACGATAAAGGAGACAGACATCAGCCAGTTTGAGTGAAATGTTTACATTTATATTGAAATATGCACTAAAACAGAGTGAGTTCTACTAGTCAATGAAACTTTGCCAAAGCAGAATCATAAACTTCCGTTGGGGAGGTCCAGTCAGCTAGCAGCAGCGATCCCCAAGCAGGAACACCAAGGAGAAGCCTGGGGCACCCCCTCTCCAAACAGCCTCCTTGCGAGAGGCCCCGACTCACTTCTCCCACATGCGCCCAACAGCTTTTGGAGCTTAGACATGCTCCTCATATATTTTTCGTTTCTTCTTCACTGCAATAAATATAAAATTGGCAATGCTCATACACCACAGCACAGACAATATTTCAGGCTTTAGCATACAACTGTAAACAGTGACTAGGTTTGAAAAAAAAGTTAACAAGGAGAGAGAGAATTCTGAAGAGCGGGGCATGAGCTACTCACAATGTCTTAGTGGGCTACGGTTTTGGGCAAGTTTCAGGTTTACACAGATGCCCGACAGTCCAAAGAGATCCACGGTGGCCAGAACTGGTTGACAAGGACGAGGGTAGCCAAGCCATTCGCCCTAGATCCCTCTGGGCAGTGCATCTCCCACCTGCCACACCTGCATTATGACCACAGACATCTCTTCAGCGCCATGACCACCTGCCGATTCGTGTTCCAAGAATGGGTGGGCAAAGGAATGAAAACTGGTTGAGGAACAGAACAGCATCTCTGCTAGCTGCCTGGAAACGAGAAAGTTGGCCCCTTGATCACATTGACAATGAGGACATCTCACTGGGACAGTGCATAAAATGCATATATTCAGAAAGGTCTGTAGACTAAACATTAACTTCTGCCACTGAAGCAAAGAGGGATGTCAATCAGAATAGACGAGCACTTTTTGCTTAAAGCAGTGCAAAGGAACCTGGCCCAACGCGAAAGCGGACTCGACCTGCACGTCGGCAACGGGGCAGAACGTCATGTGAGAGGCCAGTGGTTCCAACGCGACTGCCCGACCAGCTCCGGCATGTACGAGATGTAGTGACAGGTGAGGTCATACGCAGAACGGAGCTGGAGGCCAGAACGCAGAGGGACAGAAGCTGCGTGCTCATGCGGCAGGACCCCTGCCTGTAAAACTGCCTTTTCACACACAATCCGAGCTTAATTAATTCTCCTTCCTACAGACTTGTATCTAGAAGAAAAAAATGTGTCTGCAGAAACTCAAGAACCTGGGCTACTAAAAATTAAAAGGGAATTTTAGTGAACAAGTTTAATACACATATGTACTTCCTCTTGTGAAAAAAAATGACACATTCAGAAAATTGTATTTAAAAAAATTCCTAGAAAGGAGGCTTGACAAAAAAAAAGAAAAAAAAGAATCAGGCCAAGTTCTATCCCCCTCAGCCAGAAGCGGGTCTTTGCGCAGCTCGTCACGCCCCTCCTGCACACGAGTCCCGCCAGGACATGACACAGGCCTGTTACTGGAGTACAGCAGGAGCACCGCGGAGCACATTTTGGTGGGTACTTCAGTACCCGCCGGGTCCAGTTAAAAGCCCTGTTGTAGATCCAGTTTGTACACAGTCTGCAGGCATACTGAACACTATGCCAGCTACTGCAACACTACTGGGTTTAAAATGGCAGCTCTGTGGTCAACCAAGCCAGTAAGATCATGAAGTCTCGAGAGAAATTCTCAGATGAAGACACATTAACGAGAAACCTTAGAAATTAAACTAGTTCTTTACCAAGATCGTAGCATAAAAGCAGAAAGTCTATTCTGAACAGCAGCTTCGCTTGGTTCCTCATAGGAAACGCCAAACGTTTTGGACTGATATAATTTAGAAACCAAGCCAATAAAAAATAAAGACTACACCTTAATATACGATAAAACTTGAAATAATGTCAGGCGTTATGGAATGGAAAACAGAGTTCCGAGTTTTTTCTTTTTCCAAAAACGGAAACTGTAACAGGTTTTTGCAGAATAAACAGAACGGAGCAGAACCCTGCACAGGCTAGCACTACACGGACTACAGCACGGACACCACACAGGATGAGTTACACATCAAAACAGTACCATGAGGGTAACTGGCCGGGACAGACGCCTCCCGCGGCAGAGTTCCCAGGTCAAAAATGTGTGAAAAGCTTGCAATGTCAACAAGGACAAAATAAACACAAAAAGATGAGAGGAGGGGAAGAAAGGCTGCATGCATACATGGGTCTATTACAGATGTGGTATCATTCAGCAGCATAAAAATAATACCCTCCAAAGAGTCCCCCAATTGGAGCAAAACCTGGTTTTCACTGTTAGCCGGGAAAGATTAAGAGTGGAACAAATTCACTTGTAACCATAGCATCTCCCATATTTGAATGACAAGCATGTTCCATCTGATGCTGTATGTTATGAACATATTGAGGATATATAAAGCAAAATGAAAACTAAAGACAAAAGTATGAACCTTAAACCTGAAAAAGAAAAACATGTTTTAAAGCCAAGTAGGTATGATTCTGGTAATTATTATACATAACATAATCCATGAAAGAAAGGCCAAGAAACGAACCTTCATATTCTTCAGTATTCAGGCTTGATGTTGTCTTAGGAAAAACAGTGATAATTCAATGACTGTGTCACACACACAACTGAAAAGTCCCCTTCTGGTTTCAAACGAATTTAAACAACAATCTTCCTTGGCTAATTTTTCTCCCGTGTCAAACAAACCTTCTATGTACAGGACCAGTTTAAATCCCTCCTCCCCTTCAAACACTAGATATGAACATCCAGGAACATTCTACAATGCAAAGTGCCTTAAGAAAGAGAAGGATTCTGTAGTGCCAGTGACGTAACTGAGCTGAGGGAGCCGGGGTGCCAGGACACTGACGGGGGTGGTCAGGCAATGGTGGTATGCTTCTCCTCAGGTGTCTCCTCCAACAGCTGCATGATCAGTTCATGGAGGGGCTTGCAGATCTTTGCGTAGCCCCCTCCTGTGAGATGCAGGAAATCAAACATGTCGTGGCAGGAGATGGCACCGTCCGAGTGCACGAAGCCCCCATCGACATCCAGGAGCTGCACGTTGGCAAGCTTCGGCAGGGAAACTTTGAGAAGCTGGTTCACCTTGGCATTCTTTTGCCTCAAAGGGTTGGGCTTCTCACCTCGAGGTAACAAACCCTGGGACGGAGCAAAGAATAGTCAATGAAAAGATGCACCCTTCTCTACTCATTTGTGACTTCAGATATTCTGGGAGTCACTCTCTTCCTTTGGCGTGATCTGTCTTTTCACTTTGTTAAAGACAGGGTCTCAGTTGGGGCTCCCTGCTTCAGTCTCACCTTCTGAGTAGCTGGGGCTACAGATAGGCACCACTGCACCCAGCTTTTAGGGTGGGCCTGGAACGGCACCTGGGCCTCCAACGTAGCCTTTGCCGGCTGAGTGGTCATACCACCCAGCATGTGCTACTGTGGCTGCGCCTCCACCTGGCACTGGTACACTTCTGGTTTCTGAAACACTGGACTGAACTGGTTTTAAGAAAAGCCAACTATTCCTTCTTAGTTTTGTCATGGGTGGTTCTTCCTCCTGCCTTTTTTTTTTTTTTTTTGAGAGGTTTTTACTACAGGACATGTGCGCTCACCAAAGAGACAGAGACAGAAAGCGAGAAATCACCCCCATCCCCCGGGGAGGATGGCCATACCACAATCCCTTCTCCTCCATTCTCCTCTCGGGATCTTGGGCACACATGCACACTTGCCCAGCATGAGTTTAAGCCACCGGGTCCGGGACTCGAACCACGGTCCACTACATGGGAGTTCAGCGACATAGCCATTATGATAATTGCTGGTCCCCTCCTGCTCTTTAATTCTTGATACTCTTCAGAGACTTGTCCTTGGCCACAACTTTTCCTACTCTAAAACCTTTAGCCCAGATCTCCTCCTAGAGCTTCAGCATTTTTTTTGAGAGGTTTTTGCTATAGGGTGCATGTGCTCGCCAGAAAGACAGAGAAAGAGAGACAGAAAGTGAGAAATCACCCCACCCAGGGGGCATGGCCATGCCGCAGTCCCTTCTCCTCCATTCTCTCAGGATTGTGGGCACACATGGACATGCACCCAGCATGAGTTTAAGCCACTGGGTCTGGGACTCCAATTGCAGTCAACCACATGGGAGTCCAGCAACATAGTCATTACGCGCCACCTGCTGGTCCCAAGCTTCAGCATTATCAGAGGGGCCAGACAGGGGTGCAGTGATAACACAACTGGACCCATACGAGAGGATCCTGGGTTCACGGCCAAAGCCCCTGTGTACACAAAGGCATGTGCATGCCTGTGAGCTGGCTGAGACCAGCAGGGGTCGCAGTGTGAAGGCCCTGCGGGGAATGGCCTTTTTTCCTCTCTCTCATGGAAGGTGTAAACAAAAGGAGAATTACAAACCAAACTTGAGCGCTGCTGAGGTACTCCCAACTTAACATGTCCAAAAAAATACACCATCTTCCCCCAGAACGCTCCGTCTACATTCACTCTATCGACTGGCCGTTCCAGCATCCCTGCCTCTCATTCCATGTACCTTTATTAATTTGTCATTAAGTCACTTCGCTTTTGCACCCTAGATATTTAATGTTTTTATTAAATAAATTATTAAACAATATCATGTAACCAAAAAACTCCATCTTGACTATATACATTGCTATTAATTCAGAAAGTTATTACCACACTCACCTCAACTATATTAATTAAAGAAGAAAAATTTGTTCAGGCGATCAGCAGGTAGCATGGTGGTTAAGGCGCTGGACGTACCCACATGGTCAACCATGGTTCAAGTCCTGGACCTGGTGGCTTGCTTTCTTATGTTCCTATTCTCTGTGCGTCTTTCTCCGATCAAGTTAAGATAAATGAATGAATAAATTAAAAAATTAAGGGGCCGGCAGGTGGTGTGGTGGGTAGGGGTGCTGGATTCCCACATGGCCAACCATGGTTTGAGTCCTGGACCTGATGGCTTGCCTTCTTGCTTTCCCTTTCTCTCTCTCTCAGATAAAGTTAGAAACAGTAACAAATGGAATTAAATAAATAATTCTTGGAAACCAGCAGTTAGTGTAATGGCTATGTCACTGGACTCCCATATAGTTGACCACGGTTCGCATCTCGGACCTGGTGGCTTAGAACTCACACCAGGCATGTGTGCATGCATGCCCAAGATCCCGAGAGGAGAATGGAGGGGAAGGGATTACGGTGTGACCAACCCCCCGGGGGGTGATTTCTCGCTTTCTGTCTCTATGTCTCTCTCTGTCTGTCTGGTGAGCGCACGCGCCTTATAGCATAAAAATAAATAAATAAATAACTCTAAAAAAAAAAAATTTTTTTAAATTAAAAAAAAAATGTGTTAACCCTCCTGATTGGTCTTCCTATCTCTAATGTTGCCTTACATTTAATCCATTTTTCACACTGTAATTGTAATAGTAATAGTAATAATAATAAATAAGTGAGGTGGAATAAAATAATTATTTTTAAAAAAGGAAGAGAATTGGAAGAAATACTTTTTAAAAATGTTTTTATTTTGGGAACCAGCAGTTAGCGTAATGGCTATGTCGCTGGACTCCCACATAGTTGACCGCGGTTTGCGTCCTGGACCCGGTGGCTTAAAACTCACGCCAGGCGCGTGTGCGTGCGTGCCCAAGATCCCGAGAGGAGAATGGAGGAGAAGAAATTGCCGTGTGGCCATCCCCCCGGGGGGTGATTTCTCGCTTTCTGTCTCTCTGTCTTTCTGGTGAGCGCACGCGCCCTATAGCAAAAACCTCTCAAAAAAAAAAAAGTTTTTATTTTAATTTATTTAACTTTATTTCTTCATTTATTAATTTGACCAGAGAGGGTGAGTGAGTGACAGAGAGAAAGTGAGGAAGCAAGCCGCCAGGTCTAGGACTCAAACTATGGTCGGCCATGTGGGAGTCCAGCGCCTTTAACCACCATGCCACTTGCTGGCTCCCTCTCCCCCTTTTCTTAAAGAATTATTTTATTCGGGGGCCAGCAGCTAGCGTGCTGGTTGGGAGCACTGGACTCCCACATGGCCGAGTGTGGTTTGATTCCCGACCTGGCGCTTGCTTTCTTGCTTTCCCTCCTTCTCACTCACTCTCTCATTCTATTCCTCTCTGGCCAGATTAAAATAAAGTTAAGTAAAAAAAAAAAAAAAAAAAAAAAATAATATTGTCTTAATAATCAGAAGTACTGATTATATTAATAATGACTGTATTATTAAATAAAAAGAAATAATGTCTTTTTTTTTTTTTGAGAAGTTTTCGCTATAGGGCGTGTGCGCTCGCCAGACAGACAGAGAGAGACAGAGAGACAGAAAGTGAGAAATCACCCCCCAGGGGGGATGGCCACGCCGTGATCCCTTCTCCTCCATTCT